TTTAACAACTTTTAAATGGAACATTTTCTTTAAGTAAAAACAAAAACTTAAATTAATGATCTCATTAAAGTTTCGATTTTTGAATCACTTAAGAACCCTCTGAACGTTTTGTCTCTTGCAGACAGATAATCATTCATTTCACACAACATTCCTTCTCCAGTACACTCCGGATTAAAAATGTGCTCCCATCATGCATCAGACTCACCTGTAAGACAACTGGTGTTAAAGGTGAGCTCCTCCATCAGGATTCAGAATAAAGGAGAACATTGCTGACGCCTATCTACACCCTTGTATTTTACAATCCTGGTGCTAAACAATTTTTTGTATATTTTTTTTTTTTTGGTGTCCAGCCATGTGTCACTGGGTGATTAACCCCTTTTTCACTAATGCAGGTTGTAAAGCAGCAGGAGAGCTCTGGCTGCCCTCACTGGCTCTGGTCTTCATATTTAGCCACTTTTGTGGAGGTTTGGCATTAAGAAGTTTTCTGAACTGCTTAGAAAAAGTTTGATGAAGTGTTAAATTATAAAAAAGTTAAACACTTGCATCAATTAAAAATTAAAAAGGAGACACCTGTCATACCTTGTGTCCTTTATCTCCAGTTCATTCCTTGTTTCTCCCTCCTAGGTGTCCTTGTCCCATCCATACCCCATCTCCCTAGTCTCCGCTCCCCTCATTTATCATTCAGGTTTTTACTTTATTTCTTATTTAGTTCATGTTTTAACCCTAGTCACTCCTTGTTCATGGTTTAGTTAATTCTCCCAGCCTTTTTAGTTCAGTTGTAGTTATGCTTTCTATTTTTGTGTTCCATTTCCCTTTGTCTAGTCTTATGCTTTATTTTTGCCTTTAGTTAGTTATCTTCACGTCCTTCTAAAAAAACTTAGCATATTGTGATAAAGTTCATTATTTTCTGTAATGTACTGATAAACATTACACTTTCATATATATTAGATTCATTACACACAACTGAAGTAGTTCAAGCCTTTTATTGTTTCTAATATTGATGATGTTGGCATACAGCTCATGAAAACCCAAAATTCCTATCTCAAAAAATTTGCATATTTCATCTGACCAATAAAAGAAAAGTGTTTTTAATACAAAAAAAGTCAACCTAAAAATAAGTATGTTCAGTTATGCACTCAATACTTGGTCGGGAATCCTTTTGCAGAAATGACTGGTTCAGTGTGGCGTGGCATGGAGGCAATCAGCCTGTGGCACTGCTGAGGTGTTATGAAGGCCCAGGATGCTTTGATAGCGGCCTTAAGCTCATCCAGAGTGTTGGGTCTTGAAGCTCTCAACTTTCTCTTCACAAAATCCCACAGATTCTCTACGGGGTTCAGGTCAGGAGAGTTGGCCAATTGAGCACAGTAATACCATGGTCAGTAAACCATTTACCAGTGGTTTTGGCGCTGTGAGCAGGTGCCAGGGTGTGCTGAATAATGAAATCTTCATCTCCATAAAGCTTTTCAGCAGATGGAAGTAGGGTTGTCACGGTATGAAAATTTAACCTCACGGTTATTGTGACCAAAATTATCACGGTTTTCGGTATTATCGCGGTATTTTTTAAACGGTGTTGCACATGTTCAGAAAGCATTGATAGTCCTGTTCTACACAAACTGAAATAGTTTTGAAAATGTTTAACAGTGTTTATTAAACCTAAAATAACACAAAGCCTTAGCAAAAGTGCAACTTTTCACAAGTAAAGGAACAAATAGCTTATTTTTCTGGAACATGTTAGTTATTCAGTGCAGGTTTAAATTATACAAATCCAAACATTCAAAACATAAACAATATGTAAACAAATCAAAGAAACACCACTTGTTTTCTCATATACTTGTTTTCTTCATTATCAAAATGAAAATCTAAAACTCCAGTCCACACTTGACTTGAGCACTGTACAAGTCAACCTTAAAAAATATGTATTTAAAATAAATAGCCACTTTAAAAAAAATACTAAAATAACTACTACACTATGTAATCAAACCCAAATGTTCAAGTATAAATGGCATTGAATAAGTAAACAAATCAATGACAAGGGACTAATTGTATATTTCTCTTCATCATCAACAAATAAGATGCTTCATCCAGCAACAGGGTGTCCGTGACACGGTTTAAATGCTGGCAGAGGGCGCTGCGGCTGCAGTATATAGTGACTCGTTGCATTCTCCCTCAACCAAAAGTCCTCACGTCATGCATTTAAGCTAAAATGCTAATGTTAACTTACCTTGCAGTGGCTGTAGAGACGTGGGTGATGGTCACTCAGATGTGCCATTAGATTCGGTGTTGCTGCCTTTTGCAGACACTTGTTTCCTGCACGTTCTGCAAACGGGATAGCCGTCTTCTATTAGCTGTCCCTCAGCATTTTTCAGAAATCCAAAATATGCCCATACTTCCGAGTTAGTCTTCTTTGAGGGCTGATGGATGTCCTGAGCGCTGCCGTCTCCTCCTTCGGCCATTATTTCAGCTTCAAAGTTTTGGTGCCGTTGCAAACTAAAAAGTGCGTGTGCGCGCAGCGGGAACTTCAGCTGAAGCGACGGTGGCTGGTAAGGGTCACCGCGCCGAAACCGCGGCCACGGTAAACCCACCGAGATAATTTAGTTTTTTAAAAACTGGACGGTTATTTTTATTGTCAACTTTTTTACCGGGGTTTACCGCTATACCGGTTACCGTGACAACCCTAGATGGAAGCATGACGTGCTCCAAACTCTCCTGATAGCTAGCTGCATTGACCCTGCCCTTGATCAAACACAGTGGACCAACACCAGCAGCTGACGTGGCACCCCAGACCATCACTGACTGTAGGTACTTGACACTGGACTTCAGGCATTTTGACATTTCCCTGTGCAGCCCTGCTATTGGGGTGAAAACCAATGAGCTCTGTCGTTCCCTCATTCAGATGCAGATAGTTGGCCATTAGCCAAGACTTTACCTCGTTAAGACAGGACATAAAGGACTGAATAGAGTGACCTTTCTCCTGACTGATGGAGAGTAAATCTAGCAATCGTCAGCATAGAGATGGAATGATAGGCCATGTTTACAAAAGACTGACCCCAGAGGAAGCAGATAAATTGCAAACAAAGGAGGACAAAGGATCGATCCCTGCGGGCCTCCCCAGCGGAGCCCCTCCAAAGAAGAAAAAACATCACCCAGTTTAACACAGAATGTCCTGTTGTGGAGATACAATCTAAACCAATCCAGAGCAGACCCTTTGATCCCAACCCATCGTTCCAAGCGACCGAGTAGAATCGCGTGGTCAACTGTGTCGAAGGCTGCTGTCAGGTCTAACAACAAAAGCACCACAGATGTACCCTGATCTAGTGATAGATAGATGTCATTTAGGACCCTCAGTAGAGCAGACTCTGTGCTATGGCCAGACCTGAACCCTGAATGGAAAACCTCAAACAGATCAGAGTCAGCTAAATGTGAGACCAGCTTCTGATAAACAACTTTCTCAAGCAGTTTAGATGTAAAGGGCAGGGTAGAGACGGGCCTGTAATTTTCTGCCACAGAGACATCAACACCAGGTTTCTTCAGGGTCGGCCGAACAACTGCTGCTTTCAGGGCAGCTGGGACAACACCTGTGCTGAGGCTCCCATTGATAATCTGACCAAGTGAAGGGCCAAGACACGGAAAGGCAGCCTACCAGAGGCGAGGCGGCAGAACGTCAAGTGGAGAGCCAGGTGGCTTCTGCCTCGCAATTAGCTTACTCAGCTCAGAACAAGAAACAGTATTGAGGGAGCTCAGTGTGGGTGGTGATGGAGGAACTGGAACAGGGTCAATAAAGTTACCAGAAATAGCTGCTCGAATGCCTGATACTTGATGAACAAAGAATTTGTAAAAATCTTCAGAGTTTCCAGCAGCTGTAGGAAACATGAAGCCAGGCTCCTGATACACCAGAACAGAGTTCAGTGTTTTGTAGAGAATCTTGGGATTCTTACAGTTAGTTTACCCGTTTAATTATAGATTCACTAGGATAAATACAATAAAGTTTATCTCTCACCAAATAGAATATTTTCTAAGAAATCAATATGTAATCATAGAAACATTACTTGGTATGTGTGTGTGTGTGTGTGTGTGTGTGTGTGTGTGTGTGTGTGTGTGTGTCTGCTCTGTCTTCTTGATCCCCAGTGGGTCGTGGTGGATGGCTGCTTATACTGAGCCAGGATCCTCTGGAGGTTTCTTCCTGTTAAAAGGGAGTTTTCCTCTCCACTGTCGCTGTATGCTTGCTTGGTATGAGATTGCTGTAAAGTCACTGACACTAGTCAGTCACTAGTCAGTGACTCGATGCAATTTGCTGGGTTCCTTATATAGGACACTTTTTTTCTGATTGGCTTAATGAACTGACCTGAATTGGGATGTTTATTATGTGAAGTGCCTTGAGACGACTCTTGCCTTGATTTGGCGCTATATAAATAAACTTGAATTGAATTGGCCATGAGGACATTTTAAATCTAGTTAGGTGTTTAAAACAGTCCAGGAATTTTGTTGCTGTGTTAATTTTACAATGTGTGAGATGCACCCTTTAAAGTTTAATCTACTCTATTATTTGTTGCAGCTAAACAAGGCTTGTTTGTTTTTCATTTTCTTTAAAAGTTAAATTTCTTCTTCACAATGTGATCTCATCATCTCACCTGCTCATCGAGTAATCATTCCATTTGTCAACGCTTGAGTTTCCACAGTCAGATCCTATCACTGCACTCTGTCTTGTGGGGTTTGGTTTCCACACGTGTTGTGTTAATTTTGCTAACTTCTTCGTTTTATAGACATTCACTTTGTTTCCTTGTTTGAATTTGAAATTTCTTGCCCATTTCCTGTCTTTTACATTAGCTACACACCATAACAAATAGTCTGTTTGTCATTTTTAAATGACATAAGGCTAAAGGATCGTTTCCAAAGAACATTGGTCGAAAACAAACTGGTAACGGTGTAAAGGAGATTCTTGCTGGCGTATTCGCTGCGTGAAAACGTCACTTCACTACAGCTCCGCCCACGCACTGTGCTGATGCTCATCCTCCACTTGCATCAGCACCATTTCTGGCATCCTTGTTAAGCGCACACACACACGCGCGCGCGCAGAGACTACCTACATCATAGGAGCGTAGAGGCGTCAGACTGCTGCCAAACCACCCCGATACACACAGTCCAGAAGGCCGAACCACAGCGCCAGAAGCAGCTGAAGAGGAAGCCGTCATCACTGGGCATACGGCCACAGCTAGTCTACTCTTAGTGATGGAGAGCCTGCTGGATAATCCAATGAAAGCCGTTCTCTACCTGAAGGAGCTGACCACCATCGTCCAGAACCAGCAGAGTCTGATCCAGACGCAGCGCCAACGCATCGACGAGCTCGAGCGGAAAGTGGAGGATCTGATCGGGGAGAACCGACAGCTGCGGGACCCGCATCTCTACGTCCAGCAGCCCTCCCAACATCTCCACCATCACCACCATCATCATCCAACTCACCGTAGCGCCAGTCCCCAAGCGCCGGCCCACCTCCATCAGCACCCGGGGAGCAGCACCAAAGCTGCGGCTCACCTCAGCCAGCAGGCGCAGCAGCCGCCTCAGCAGCAGCAGCAGCAGGTTTCCAGTCAGGCGGCCCAGCCTCAGCAGCTCCAGACTCCTCCTGCGCCGGCTTCTCACCACCCACAGCAGCTGCAGCTCGTGCCCACCTCGCCACAGTCGCCTAAAGTGAGTCAAGCCGGTTCGGACCCCGCTGAGGAGGACAAGAGGAGCGCCTGCTGCAAGTCTCTCGTTCCGCAGACCCCCTCCACCCTCTGCCGCTCGGTGGGGCTCGCCAGGAAAGCAGAGTGAGTAGCTCCCATGTTGTGTGCTTTTTAAATTTCTCTCAGCGAGACGTCCACAGCAAATTATGAGGGACCTTTGGAACAAATATTCTATGTTTTATAGCATAAAGGAGGGACAAACAGGTGATTTTTATATGCCTGTTAAACAAGAGAAAAAAACACATGTGACCTCAGTGAAGCCTAGCTCTGCAGAAAAATGCTGTTAGAATATTAATTTGGTTAAATACACAAGATGCCCTCAAGGGTCATCTGGCATGTGTGTTCCAGACCAAGTCAGCACCAAGTCAGGGTGCAAGTGTGGATTTTATTAATTATTTACTAAGCTCATCTCACATGGGAGAAGAGATAACATCTAGAGCTCAGTTAAACATTTCGAGACATTCTTCAACATAATTTCCTTAATCTACCGAGACCCCACGTCTGCATATGAGGACATTGGCCTCTATAATATTTTATTATCTTCAACTTAGACCATTTTTTGTTATTTAAACACAATGTATTATTGATTTTAGGTTTAAAAAATCTTTTTCATTTTCTCTAAATAATATTTTGTTCACATATATGAGAGCCGACTAATTTGTAATAGATAGAATTGTTTTTTTTCCCCTTTTAAATGACGCCAAATACAAATTTGGGTCCCATGAGGTTAAATCTAATCTTTTCTACACTCTACATTTTATATTATGCCTTTATTTGTTGAACTATTAATTGTGATAATTCAGTGTGACTCTCTTTTACTCATTACCTAAACAAAAACCTGAATTTATTTGCCTGAAGCATTTTCTTTTGTACGTTGGCCCATCAGAGAGGATCTCGGAGTGTTTGCCCCCTGAGCTGAATATTGTATTAAAACACTTTGGTTTTTAGGGGTTTGGCTGAAGCAGATAGGTGCCAGGAGACAGACATGGCGCTTCCAGTGTAAACAAACATATTTAAACAAGCAAAACACCTCGAAGCATGTTTGAAGTTTGATCCTACAGGTTGTGACAACTTTTTTCAAATCAGATACTGAGAAATGCTACACAATAAACTTGGGGCAACCGAAGGAAAAATCATCTTAAAAGAAATTCAGAGTTGATGTGTAATTAGTCTCACATTCAAGTCTAAATTGACACAAAGCTGTGATGCAAAGAAAATGCATCCATATTTCTCGGAAACAAAGATTTTGAAAATGGGACCCAATGCCTCCTTGCTTGACACTCAGCATTAAGAGGGTCAGTTGGGGGTTAAACCAGCAAATAGTTCCCAAGCACAGCCATGTCTGCAGCTCACTGCTCCCCCAGGGGATGGGTCAAACGCAGGGGAAAGAAAATCACCAGTGGGTGGTGACTAATGAGACTTTAGGTGAGTAAAACACGGATATTTGAAGACTGTGATTGTAAAACAGGGACAGGTGACCCAGTAAGAAACAGGTGCATGACTGGTGACTGGGACATTGAGAGGAAATGAAGAATAAACCTAAACAGAGACATAAAACACAAATTATGTTAACTAAAAAGGGGCGGAACCTATGACTAAATAAACAAATGGAAAATAATAAACCAGCAATGACATAAAACAACAACAAAGAAACAATCACCAGTCCATAATACCCAAACTTCATGACAAAAACATGTTTTTAAAGTGATCAGTCCCTCCCTGCTTGGATGTCTGGGTCCCTGTAGCAGCTTTGCTCTGCTTTTATAGCAGTCCATGTCTTGTTTGTTCTTTGTTTTTGCCAAACGACTAATTAAAAAGAAAATAAAAAGTATTTGTTGCTTACATAATACATTGAATGTTGATATGTGTTTGGTTATTTTTTCTGGTAATATTAAGATGATTTTGGCTTCATCACTTATGATGTCATATTTCAAATGATCACAACACAGCTCTGCTTCTGCTTACCATTACCTACATTCCTGGATGGCGTTTTACTACTCGAATAATGTACATGTTAATTATTCCTGATTTCAGTATCCACTACAATAACGATGATGTCATTTTCACATGACCAAGCAGCCATAGTATTATTATACCTACTTCCCTTCAACATGAACGTTTAGTGCTGTTCATTCAGAGCCTTGGAACTGTCCGTGCTGCTGGATGTGCTTTGCCTCCATCAAGGTCACATGAATCTCTTTTGCCACACACACACACACACACACACACACACACACACACACACACACACACACACACACACACACACACACACACACACACACACACACACACACACACACACACACACTGTTCGCTGAACCCCATCTGCTCCACTTGGCTGCATTTGCATTGTCTCTGTTAATCCAGACTGATATATTGTGATATTAAGTTATAGGTCCCTCTCAACGAGGGTCAGAAAATGTCTACATTAGCATGCACACAAGGAAAAACCAAAGAGGACTCACTGCACTCTTATAATGGATCCTCTCAACAGCAAAGTCTGGGACAAAGTAAATGCGGGAGGGGATATTTGCTAGATGCGTCCATTTGCTAAACATGCAACCTGACAATTTTGCAGAGTAAAGAACAACGATGCAGAGAGATGAAGTGTGTGAAATGGCTCAAGGAAGCATGAATGTTCTCAGCCCTAATGCAAAAGCAGTGATACATGAAATCCAGAAGACATGAAAAGCATTTTATTTTCCACTTACAGGATTGATCCTGGGTTGACAAGGTGCACAATTGCTGCAAGAAGAAAGTGGTGCATATCTTTTGTGGGAGGGTGGCAGAGTGAACTCATTAATCCGGTGCTGGTGTACGTTACTCCATGACGACTCTATAACTTCTAGGGAGGAGTTACTGCACCTAGAGCTTCAGTTAAATTTACTGCTCATTAAAGGATTTAATTTTTATTAAGAAAGACTGGAAATGAAATAAATGTTGCCAGTGAGTAAAACAAATAAATAAAAGAAAACACAAATAATCTTCTTACCCCTGAATATTTGGTTTTAATGGATTCTCATCTTAACCAGTGCTTTTCCGTTCAAACAATGTTTTTATGTGTTTAAATCAAATGGAAATTCCATTTACAAAGCTGAAATAGAAAACTTAAATGCTTCTTTGCTGCCATCACACTTGCCTCATCTCTGGTGGTGTAATTCAAAGAATGCAAATCAAGCATGCCTCATGCATCAAATGGAGGATGCTGTTTAGAACTCGCTAACTCATGAGCCTAACCTCCTGAAATGCAGAGTCGAGGCTGTTGCAGCTGTGTTATTAAAGCAACAAAGGATTCTCAAAGGGTCTGTTTAATCTAAAAGAAGCCTTCAGCAGTCCTGTGTAGTCATCTTTCCTCCCCGTTTCTCTCTGGTCCTTATTTGATGACACAAAACTCATTTTCTCAGTTTACAACTTCTTGGTCTTTGCCCACAAGTTCTAGTTCATCCACAAATCTCAATGTTCTTCCTTGTTTTTATATCTCAAATGTTCTTATTTTCATCTGTTTTACATGACGTCTTGTTTTTAGTATTCAGCACCAAACATCTTTTAACCCTTGTCCTGGCTGGGTCAGAGCCCTTGGCCCTTTCCTGTTTAGTATAGCTGCCAAGTGTTCAAATCTCTGCATGAAAGTGGGGTCAAGTGTTCAAGTGAAAATCACTGTAGAGGAGGTCTAGCCTAGTGAACTAGACCAAATTCTTGCTTTGCAAAGAATGGTCTAGGCACGCTCCACTGGAACCTCCGCAGCTCCTACCAGGACTCTGGCTGGCCAATCACAGCTCTCTAGAGGGGTTTCAAACATGTAAAGAGCTGTGATTGGTGCATAATGGTGGGCCAATCATAGTGCTCTATCTGCTTAGTGAACAAATCACAGAGCTTTATCTGCTTTGTGGGCCAATCAGGGCACTCTATGTGCCTGGTGGGTGGGATGAAGCAACAGAATGAAACATGAGTATGTCACATTCATTGTCCAGTGGAATGCGGAGATCATTTGAAAGACAACGGTAGAACCCGCCCCACAACCGAGAGCCGTCAGTGGAGTGTTGCCAGACTAAATAATACATTCATTTAGTTTGGCTTGCCAGGCTAGAGGAGGTCGAGACATGAGCATCTGAAAGGTGACACATCCTGTCACTGGAGGTGGAATTTCCCTTGGATGCAGATTTGTTAACATAAAACATTGATATGTATACTAATGCTAACATGGCACGTGCCACCTGGCAGTCTGCATGTTTATTTATTTATTTATTTTGCACATTGCACCTGCTGCCCCCTTGTTTTCTTTCCTTCTGCTCTTGTAAGATGTATGTAATCTCTTCTGATATTTTCTGCATGGAGTGGTTTACATCAAAGGATGTACTCTGCAACATACTTTACAGAAAGCCTCCTGAAAGGTGCAATGTCTGCAGAAATGCTCCCAGATCAATGAACCTGGAGCTTTGCTAAGAGAGATTTCACCAACTAACCATTAACACGCATTTAAACCTTCCATTTGCTTACTGGAAGCTTGTTTTTATGTGCAGCAGATCCCCAAATTTGTGTTATTTGTTTATTTTTGGGAGAGAAATGCAACATTTTTGAATGAATGTATTAGAAATAGTTCAACTCCTTGTTCAGAACTGTGCAGATATATCAGTTCTTCACACTTTTAGAGAAAATGACTAAAATTAGTAACTAAGTTTGAGATAAGTTCAACATTCAGCAGATCCTAAAATATTTTAATTCTATTACATGAATATGCATACAATTTATTAAAAAGAAAAACCAGTAAGCAGGAGGCAGGCAGGTAAAGACTTAATGTAGCCTTGCACTCACTGGATGATTATTATTCATACCAGATGGTGGGGCCAAAAATAAGTTAGCCTGCTGAGCCGAGCAAAGCAGGAACAAACGGACACAATGACATAAAATAATCTGGAAAAGCGCAACGAAACCTGGGTGGAATAAACACAGAGGGGAGAGATAAGGAGTGAGAAAACGGCAGTCGGCGAAGGCCAGGTGGAAAGAGCAAAAATAACACCAACCCAGCAAATACAGGAGCAGGGCGAGCTAAAATCAAACAAAAATGGATTAAATTTACCTTT